GATTGGAAAGCAAGTAGACATATTTTTATATGATTCAAGTGTTTTAAGGTAAGAAATTTTGTTCTCGTTTTTAATGCATTGAACAATTTGCCTTTTTTGCTCTCAGGTTACATTTTTCAACTTCTATACTTTACAGATGGTTATACCAGCTAAGGCATATTTATAAAATTATTGCAATCCACAGTTCCATAAATACACCAATATGTAGAAATATGCCAACAGCAACAACCACCATATATGAAGGATGCAATCCGCTAATAAAGCACTACGTATGTTCTGTCAGACACACTTGCTTGGCACCCACTCAGAGGCTCTGGAGAGAGAACTCATACATTATGCATGCGTGACAGTATGCACCCATACCACACAAAATGTAGGCCTGAAATGCCCTCCCCCACATTAGCAAGCAGTGAATCACATCAAGATTTCACTTTGGGCATATCCTACCACTGTGCTAACTTCAGAATCCTGGCTTGTACTTCGGACCATAACTGCTGGTCCTCCACTGGGAATAGAGTCGAAATCACTCTTCTGCAGTCAAAACATACAAAGGACAGGAAGAAAAGTCACATTAGTTTTTATCATAAGGAGAGATTATCACTTACCATTCCTTTGGGGTCTTGAATCACACAGAATCACAGAATGGTAGGGGTTGGAAGGGACCTCTGGAGATCATCTGGTCCAACCCCCTGCTAAAGCAGGTTCACCTAAAGCACGACACACAGCATCGCATCCAGGCACGTTTTTAATATCTCCAGGGAAGGAGACTCCACAACCTCCATGGGCAGCCTGTTCCAGTGCTCTGTCACCCTCAAAGTAAAGAAGTTTTTCCTTATGTTGAGGTGGAACTTCCTGTGCTCCAGTTGGTACCCATTGCCCCTTGTCCTGTCACTGGGTACCATTGAAAAGAGCCTGGCCCCAGCCTCTTGACACCTGCCCTTTAGATATCTATAAGCATTGATAAGGTCCCCTCTCAGTCTTCTCCAAGCTAAAGAGCCCCAGGTCTCTCAGTCTGTCCTCGTAGGAGAGATGCTTCAGCCCCCCCATCATCTCAGTAGCCCTCCGCTGGACTCCCTCCAGTAGTTCCCTGTCCCTCTTGAACTGGGGGCCCAGAACAGGACACAGTACTCCAGATGCGGCCTCACTAGAGCAGAGTAGAGGGGAAGGATGACCTCCCTCGACCTGCTGGCCACACTCTTCTTAATGCACCCCAGGATGCCATTGGTTGCCTTGGCCACAAGGGCACGTTGCTGGCTCATGGTTAACTACTTGTCCACCAGGACTTCCAGGTCCTTCTCCTCAGAGCTGCTCTCCAG